ATAATAATAATAATAATTATTATAATTTTTTTTAATTAATAATTTTTTTATTTTGGAGAACTTATAAATGATTGTAGAAATTCAATTATTTTCAAAAACTTCCCCCAATTCAATGATTCTTAATACCTACCTATTTTAATAAAATTTTCCAAAAGAATTCAATTGTCCAAAATTTTGTAAAATTTAATTGTAAATATATAGATTTGAACATTCTCAAAAAAATATTAAAAATTTTTTAAATTATTTATTTAGAAAAGAATTGTAGTTATAAATTGTAGAAATTATTAATTCAGGTGAAATGCTGAAATGAATTTTGAAGAAGTTACTGTAACAATATTTTAAAAATATAAAATGAAGATTTTATCGCTCGGTCATCTTCAATTAGTATAAAACATAAAGAAATGCATCACTTAGAGTTGAAGACTGCACGGAGTAATCCATATCTTCATTATTATCATAATATTCTTATAAGTCTTTGAATTTCAAAGATGTTTAAATTAAAAATTTTTGAAAATCTTAATTTCTATGGAAAAATAATAACCTACTTAATTAAATAATTTAAAAAAAGAAGTTATTGATGTTATCGAATAATTTTACAATTAAAGAAATTGGTAAATAAATGTGACAGAACATTTTTTTGGGTAAAATTTTTTCCTTTATTTTCTAAAAGTTCAAAAATTTTAATATCATTTTCAAATAAAATTTGTAATTGACAAATAGAATTTATGAACATTTTTTTCCTTTATTTTTATAAAACTTTAAATTTTATTAAAACTATTGCAATTAAAAAATAAAAATGATACAAATTATTTCCTTATGAAAATTAAGAATTTTCTATAAAAATATTAAGAACGGTAATATTCCAAAAAAGAATGAGTTTGTGAACAATATTGTTATTGAGAAATAAAAATTATCCGTAAAATATTTCTTAATCATAATTACAAAAGCAATAAATAAACATGTCAAACTCAGAAACAAAACAAAATCATACATGTACGACTAACTTCAGATGTGGACTGAGATCCAGAAAAAAATCAGAGATATATTACACAAGTCAACATGAAATTTGTGCCTGACATTTAAGATATTTTTTATGATAGATTTATAGACAGATATGAGGGAAATAATTAGGGTAATGTCACCTTGATCTTAGAAATGACTACCAAAACATCTTAAATTAAGATACTTCTTTTTGCAGTGTATTGTAAGAGCGACTTTTTTTTGTTTCCGATCTTAAAAACGCGTTACACACAAAAAATATGGTAAATTTGACTATAGTAGTATAGCTATGAGGATACTGGGACAGATCGGTAATGCAGATTTCTACTTTATCCGTGGTTGGTATGGTGTGCTCTACCTTACCGACCTAGTTAGTTCCGGCTGCCACCGCTAGATGGCGCCACTTGCGAATTCCAAACCTGCTTGGCGGGAAATTTAAAATTTTATTTTCAAACTTTCAAGTGGCTTAGAAAGGGTTATCTGTTTTACCAACCGATTTTTTTAGTTCTGGCTGCCGCCGCTAGATGGCGTCACCAGCAAATTCAAATCCGTTTGTCGGGTAATTTAAAATTTTATTTTCATAGTTTTAAGTGGGTTAAAAGGGACGCTCTGTTTTACCGACAGGGTTCAACGATCAACAATAGATGGCGCCACTAGCGAATTCCAAACGTGCTTGGCAGGAAATTTAAAATTTTATTTTCAAACTTTCAAGTGGCTTAGAAAGGGTTCTCTGTTTTACCGACCGATTTTTTTTAGTTCCAGCTGCCGCCGATAGATGGCGCCACTAAATTTTTAATATTAGTGAAAAAATTATTGTTTAAAAAATATTAATTGTAAACATTTGTTTATTATATATATAAAAAATATTAAAAAATATTAATTGTAAATATTTGTTTATTATATAAAAAATTATTGCTTAAAAAATATTAATTGTAAATATTTGTTTATTATTAATACTTATTTAAAAACTATTTATTTAATTAAGGTAAGTGTAGTTAATTTTTTTTGTTTATTAATTATTACTATTATCATTATTTTATTAATTATAAACAATTTATAATTAAGGTAAGTGAAATTATTACTTAAAACTACAATAAGCGTTTTGAATTCAAATTGATTTTCGCGCGTTACCGGCGGTGAGCCACCGCAGTCACCTCTGCATCAGATGGCACTCGAGTGGCGTCCATTTTCACCGCCGTGGATGCTGGTGGAGAGGCCGCCGACACCACTGCCCAGGTCACCGACACCTCAACCCAAGATGGAACCGGAGTCTCCCCCACCCTCCATTCAGTTGGGGACTCCACCCAGGTCGCCTACACCGGTGGAATGGCTGCCTACAACCCCGCCCGGAAGTCCACCACGGTACAGGTCACCGATACCCAGGGCGCAGTCTCCCGAGCCCAGGGTAGAGGAAAGAGAGCCGGCGGGACCTCCACCAGACGCGCAGCCGCCGCCTGCTCACGGTCGGCGTCGCTGCCATCGACGGCGGCGCGTAATTTTAAATTTGACTTTGAATTTTATTTTTAAAAATCAATAAATTTTTATTTTTTTTGTAAATTAGTATATTTATTTTGCGGATCCTATATAGAAATTGTTACGTCTGCGTTAGAGTAAGAGTATTGCGCATGCGTGAATAGGTGGGGGAAAATTTAAGAGTGGGGATGCGTTATAGGTTGGAGTGGGGGTAAATGGTCTAGTGCGCATGCGTGAAAGGTAGGAGTGGGGATTTCAGGGTATATATTCAGGGATTTTGGCGAGTTTAGTGAGTAGCTGTTCTGTTCACAGGTACAGCGGTTCCAACAGCAGCAGATTCCCATTGCTATTACTAACTGTCTTTTTTGTTACATTTATTGTTATATATACTGTGTTTATTGCATTTACTTTGTATTGATTTTTAGGTTAAGTTCTTTAGTTTGTAAGTTCGTTTTGCTTAGTATAAGTATTTTAGTTTGTAAGTGTGTTCTTTTGTTAGCTTGTAAGTGTGTTTCTTTTGATTTCAGGTGCAGAGATGAAGCGGAAGGCGATGACCACCGATGGACCACCACGTAAGTATCTGAATTACGGTACTATTCTCGACGAGAGTGACATCACTGTTACTCTCATTAAAGAAGCCCTTGAGTTGATACCTTATTTGAGTAACGTAAATGAGAGACGCTCTTTCATTGAACGATGGGTTGTAGAATGCTCACACATGAAAATTTGTTATCGAGCATTCTCAAGTCGATGTACTTTACACATCAAAAAAAAAGATGTGTGAGCATTCTACAATCCATCATTAGACTTCGCGCATTATTTGAGTCCCATATTGTAGATGGCGCTGGAATCGGTGACCCAGATATCAATAAACGTGTGCGCTGGGAAGAATGTGAGAGTGCGTTTGCGTGTAGATTGTACACTAATGTGATTCTAAATCTTGTACACATTGATATAAGCGCGTTTTTAGACGATGGGTCCACACTGTTTCAAGACCACATTAGAGGTGCTTTAAATAAGAATGGACCCATTGTCGTGTACGGCGTACTCATCGCAAACTTCAATAGGGTGGAGAATGACGAAGAAGTTGTAAAGCTGATTCCTTTTGGAACCAAGGCCAACAACATCTTCCCTACAACCCTTTTAGATGATTGGTTTGAGCAGTACATTAAGCAACCGATTCTACATAGTGTTGAAGAGTTTTACGCCAAAGGTTCAAATTGGAATCTTCAATCAACTATAAGGCTTGAAGTAAATGTAAATAAGTATAATCCAATGCGCGCGAGCTCATACATTGATCTACCCTCACAAATTAAGAATAAACACGCATGTATCAACGTGCAAAATGAAGATAATGAGTGTTTCAAATGGGCTGTACTCTCAGCCTTACACCCAAATGTAGTGAGAAGTGATCGAGTTTCCAACTATAAAGAATTTAAAGACGAGTTAAATTTTGAGGGTATTGAATTCCCAGTAACACTTAAAAATGTTCCAAAATTAGAAAAAAATTAATGACGTTTCGATTAATGTCTACGGCCTTACAAAAAGGTATGGTGACTTTTCTGTACACCCTCTTCACCTTACTTCTGAAAAAGAGATAAGCATGTAAATCTCTTGTATGTTGCCGACATGTATGCGGATGAAAGTGATGATGATACTGTATTGTATGACGACGATAATTTTATAAACTTCCATTATGTGTGGATAAAAGATTTATCTCGACTAGTGTTTAAGCAGTTGTCTAAACATAGAAATAAAAAATACATCTGTGACCGATGCTTACACTACTTTTCATCTGTAGATAGATTGAACGCACACATCAAAAATTGTAAAAAAGTGAATGAGTGTAAAATAAAATTACCGTCGATTGATAAAAGTTTAATCACATTTAAACATTATAAGAATAAAGAGAGAGTACCGTATGTAATTTACGCGGACTGTGAAAGTCTACTTCTTCCCGCCGATGAAAATGTAGACAATTTAAGTAAGACTGAAGTATTCCAGCGCCATAAGTTATTGAGTATTGGCTATTACATAAAATGTAGCAACGATGAATCGTTATGTAAATTTGTACCGTGCCCGAAAAATGAATCTGATCCTGCTAAATGGTTTACTGAGGAATTAAGGCAATTATCTAAAAAAATTGATAATGTATTTAAAAATCCGATACCAATGAATGCCTTAACTCCTCAAGAAATCAGTGACTTCAAGCGAGCGACAATATGTCACATTTGTCATGAGAAAATACCGGCAAGCGAAAAGAAAGTCCGCGATCACTGTCACCTTACTGGCAAATAAAGGGGTGCTGCCCATGAATCATGCAATTTAAACTATCAAGATTGTCAAAGATCCCCGTAGTCTTCCACAATTTAAGCGGTTACGACGCCCATTTTATAATTCACACGATCTCGACGAGCTTTAAAGGGAAAATTGACCTCCTCCCCATTAACAAAAAGAAGTATATCTCTTTTACTAAACATGTTAATAGGAGTGAGGTCAAATTCAGATTCATTGACTCATTGCGATTCATGGCAGCATCCCTGGAAAAACTCGCATCGTACTTAGACGAGTATAAAATTGTAAACTCCGTTTTTGCCAGTACGGTGACAGATCCGGATAAAATCAAACTATTGACGCGCAAGGGTGTTTTCCCCTATGAGTACTTTGACTCAAAAAGCAAGCTCGATGAAACTGAATTACCCCCCATAGAGAAATTTTATAGTACGCTTTATGATGCCGGTATTTCTGATAATGAGTATACACATGCGCAGAATGTATGGACCGAGTTTAACTGTCAGAATCTCTACGACTATGCACATTTGTATATGAAAACAGATGTATTGTTACTTGCGGATGTCTTTGAAAATTTTCGAAAAGAATGTGTTAAAGCGTACGCGTTAGATCCTGCTCACTATTATACGACCCCCGGTTTAACTTGGGATGCTATGGTCAAGTACACGAGCATACGATTGCAACTAATAACCGATATCGATATGATTATGTTTGTTGAGTCTGGTATTAGAGGTGGCATAAGTCAATGCTGCAACCGATATACTATAGCGAATAATAGATATATGGAAAATTTCGATGATAGCAAAGATACTAGCTACATCATGTACTTTGACGCCAACAATTTATATGGCTGGGCAATGGCTCAAGCGCTCCCTTATGGCGGCTTCAAATGGGTTGAAAATGTCGACAACTTTTTTAATTTTAATGTATCCGACGATTCACCTGTTGGATACATACTCGAAGTTGATTTGGAGTATCCTGAAAATCTCCACGATACTCACAAAGACATGCCATTTTGCGCAGAAAATGCGAAACCACCCCTCTCGAAACAGGAGAAATTATTAACAACTCTCCAACCAAAAGAAAAATATGTGATCCACTACCGCACTTTAAAACAAGTTGTCGCCAACGGCATTAAGCTTGTAAAATTTCACCGAGTCTTACAGTTTAAGCAATCAACATGGCTTAAACCATACATCGACTATAATACGATGATGCGAACCAACGCCAAAAATGAGTTCGAGAAAAATTTGTTCAAGATCATGAACAACGCTGTGTACGGTAAAACAATGGAAAATGTCCGTAAACATGTCGACATTAAGCTTGTCACCCAATGGTTTGGCCGCTATGGAGCTGAAGCCCTTATTTCTCGCCCGAATTTCCATAGTCGAGCGATATTCGACGAAAATCTGGTTGCCATTGAACTGCGTAAAACCGAGGTACTACTCAACAAACCAATCTATGTGGGGTTAAGTGTGCTCGATGTTTCCAAAACGCTAATCTACGATTTTCACTACGGGTATATGTTAAAAAATACGGCGACAATTGTAAACTGATGTATACCGATACAGACAGTCTAATCTACGAAATTAAATGTAAAGATGTCTACAATGACATGAAAAATGACATCAAAAAGTTTGATACGTCAGACTATCCAGCAAACAACGTGTACGGCATTCCGCAAGCCAACAAAAAGATTCTGGGTCTAATGAAAGATGAATGTAACGGCAAGATCGTTACCGAATTTGTTGGCTTGCGGAGTAAGATGTACAGCGTACGTGTTGAAGGTCAAGACTTTATTAAAAAAGCCAAAGGCATTAAATCCGGCGTTGTGAAAAAATCGATTCACTTTGATGATTATGTAAAATGTCTGCGAGATTTCGACATTCAAACTCGAACACAGTATAATATAAGATCGCGACTACACAACCTTGAGACTGTAAAACAAATTAAAGTAGCTTTAAGTCCGCAAGACGACAAACGGTATTTGTTACCAGGGAGTACCGACACTCTACCGTGGGGACATTATGCAATCCCCACAATCGACAAATGATTTTGTAAAACATGATTGTAAAAAATAAAATGTTTGTTAATAAATAATGCAATTATATTCAATTTCCATGTGTTTTTATTTAAAAAATCCTTCCATATATACATAATAACATGATTAAAACTTATATTAATGTAATATAATTTAAATGTGCAAATCGCCCCCCAGTAACTTAACGCAAATGCCAATCAGCCAGCAAAGCAATCAAAGATTAATGTTAGCGTAGAATCTCTTTATAAATCAAAACTACTTCCAACAACAGACCTACACAATGCCAGTGCCAACTGATTTAATAGTGATTCATTATTGATTTAATATTGATTTAATATTGATTCATTATTGATTCATTATTCATTCATTATTGATTCATTATTCATTCATTGTTGATTCATTATTGATTCATTGTTGATTCATTACTGATTCATTATTGATTCATTGTTGATTCATTAATGATTCATTATTGATTAATTGTTGATTCATTATTGATTCATTGTTGATTCATTGTTGATTCATTATTGATTCATTGTTGATTCATTATTGATTCATTGTTGATTCATTATGGATTCATTATTGATTCATTGTTGATTCATTATTGATTCATTATTGATTCATTGTTGATTCATTATTGATTCATTGTTGATTCATTGTTGATTCATTATTGATTCATTATTGATTCATAGTTGATTCATAGTTGATTTATTATTGATTCATTATTGATTCATTATTGATTCATTGTTGATTTATTATTGATTCATTGTTGATTCATTATTGATTCATTGTTGATTCATTATTGATTCATTATTAATTCATTATTGATTCATTGTTGATTCATTATTAATTCATTATTGATTCATTATTAATTCATTATTGATTTAATGGTAATTAAATTTGGCACTGGCAGTATAAAGGTCTGTTGTTGGAAGTAGTTTTGATTTATAGAGAAGTTCTACGCTAACATTAATCTTTGATTGATTTGCTGGTTGATTGACATTTGCGTTAAGTTACTGGGGACGATTTGCGAATAATAGATTATACATTTGCTTTATCTTCCCACGTATTGTGAGAATTATTAAAGCCAAGCCATTTGACAAGAACTTTGTTTCCACGTGTCTTGAGAATTTTTTCCACAAGATAAATATCTGAATATTTTACTTTAAGAAGTTCCTCTTCATAAAATGCTCCGCTGATGGGTTGATCCTGGTAATCCTTGAGCTTGTAAGTCACTGGTTGAGTTGATATAACTTGATCCACGGTGAATATTTCTGTTGTCCAATTGGGTGTATATCCTTACTCGAAAAGGTTTTTATATTTGCTTACTCGAACTTTGTCACCAATTTTATACTTTGGTCGTCTTAAAGGAATTTTTCTCAGTTTAGAGATCCTTTCTTTTAAAATTTCAACGTCTTCTGAAGTAACATCTTTAGGCTTCATTCCAATTGTTCTATGTTTTGTATCATTATAGTTGGAAATAAGAGTAGGCAATATATCATACCATTTGTAATTTCCTCGTAAACTAAATTGCATCCACATTTTTCTTTTTAGTGTTCGATTAAACTACTGTTCGATTCACTACTGTTAATTTTTTGTTGTTCATTCTCGAGAGCACTTAAGCGAGTATCCAATTTACTAATAATTTCTGCTGTTCGATAAGATAAATCTTGATTTATATCTTTTTTAAAATTTTTTATTTTTTCTGTAATAGAGTCTTCAAGAACTTTTAGAAATAAGTTGTTATTGTCCACCTCTGATCTAAGTGAGGCACTAGCTTAATACAATAAACGCACTTCGTGTTTTATCATATGTCGTACAAGTTTTAAATTGACAGCGTCGTTTTCTTCTTCAGCGTTAGCAAGATTACAGAGTTTTCTTCCTTCAACGTCAAAGTTACCTTGAGAATTGAGTTTAAAACCAACTCCAGGAGGCCATCGTTTAGCTGTTTCTCTTTGATTGAGAGGATGTCCGAACACGTCAATGCTCATTGTTGAAATGAATGATATTTGCTAAAACACATCTTAATATAGAATTTTAGCTTCACGTAGTTCCTTAATGATAGACATGATTTCATTATTGTGACTAGGATTTCCAGCATCTTGAGAAGCCATTAATAGTCTAAGATGGTTAACTAACTCATTCGGATCATCCCAATAGATATATTCTCGTTGAAAATTTCTGTTTGTAATTATAAATTTAGGTAATGAACTACCGCTTACAGATGGCTGTTTAGTAGGTGTTCGAGGGAAGAATTGAGATATAAAATCTAAATACTTGTAACTCTTATCCGTGCGTAAAGATTCAGAGGAACTATACTTCTTTTTGTGTGCATTAGTAGCAATCAGAATCTCTTCATAGTTTCTTTCATCAGCTTCACTTATAAACGATCTAGTAGGTTTACTTTTGAATAAAAGTTCAAGAAATCCAGGTGTTTGAAGATATCGTTTATCACCAATTTTTACAAACTGATCTTTAAGAGTTATTGGCGAATCAGCAATCATAAGTGATCCATCACTTAGCTTACGTATGCCGTATGTTGAATCTAAACATTGCTTTCTATTATGATTTAATAAGTATAGAAATTTATTACTTATTTTGTCATCATCTGGAGATTTTTCAGTTTCACTTTCAAAGTTTATGCTATCATCCTCCTTCTGCTCTTTCTTTTCAATCTTAACATTTTCAATCTTGACATTTTCATGTTCACTGTCTGTCAAGTTGATAATTTTTTGTAAGGGTTGAATTATCGGTTTGAAAGTTTCATTCAACACACTTTCAGCTTCTTCTTTTCCTAATTTTAACATACGATGTTTTCGCCTAATTGCCTCACTAGCTTTAGCAATTTGATGAAGATATTCTTTTTCTTTATGAAACATGTTATTATTACAAGGTTTCATATTGAACTAACAATATTTTAGGGATGATCTTATATTTATAGTGTTACAAAGCTATCAAATCCTTTTCTATATCTTCCATCATTTAAATCAGAATCCTTATCAATTACTACAAATCCATACTTGTCTGAATTCCAACATGTGGCACATAGTTCTCGAAATTGATTAAATGTCATGTCAGTATTAACATGATCATCATAAACATGCCTTAAATTTTTCTCATCTTGACGAAAAAGAACTAGTAAATTAACATTATCACGTACCAAATGTTTGGGAATGCGGGCATATGTTTGACAAAGATAAAAAGAATCAACATCAACATGTCTACCCATGCAAAAGAATGCTCTTACATTATCTTGCTTCTCGCAAGCAATATCATCAAATATAAATATTGAATTCCGTTTTGCATCTTTAAGAGTAATGACTTCTTCATGCTCACTAAATGGTAAATACTCTACTCCTTCAACATTACTTACAACTTGTTCCAAGAATTTTATACTTGGGTTGATGTAGAGACTTTGAGTACAAGTAAATATTATCAAATCTAAGACCATTAGGATGTAAAATTAAAGAAAGTAGTACATTTGTCTTTCCACAATTTGATGGTCCACAAAAAATAGCTCGAATACTACCTGATAACAAGCTACCATGACGCTTTACTTTCTTGTCTTGTTGTTCAACAATCGAGTCTAGATTGACGACTGGCAGCTTGTGAAGTTGCAAGAAAATCAATAATTCCTGGTAATGATGCTCGATCAACAATAAAGTCAGCTATTGAAACATCTCGAAAAGCTGTAAGGAATGCAGGTGGTAGAGAAAAAGTTTTAACACCTCGTATTCTACCTGTGCCATCAAAAGTTGGTGGTCTGTTACCATTAATTCCAATTTTTGCTGGGCTAAGTGCACTTGGAGCACTTACTGGGGAGCTGATGGTGTAGCAAAAGCTGTTAATGATGCAAGTGCAGCAAAAGAGCAGTTGAAGGAAGCTCAGCGTCACAATAGAGAGTTAGAAGCAGTTGCACTTGGTAAAGGTCTACATTTAAAACCATACCGACAAGGTTTGGGACTTCATTTGAAACCATACGTTAAAGGACAAGGTATTAAAAGACGATGTACGAAAAAAAAAGTTTAAAGCTACCTCAACGAGCACTTACTGATCTAGATTTACTTAAATATGCTAAAGAAATGAAAATTCCTTATTTTCGAGGTGTTTTCATGCGAAATGAATTACCTATAAGAGGTCTTGGAAAAAATAAATCAGCCATTATTAATTTAGATGATAAAGATGGTTCTGGAACTCATTGGGTTGCATATAAAAAAGTTAATAATAAAGCAGTATACTATGATAGTTTTGGTAATCTTCAACCACCCTATGAACTTGTCAATTACTTAGGTTACAATACTTTAATACAGTATAAGCATCAAAATTATCAAGATTATAATAGCTTTAATTGTGGTCATTTATGTCTAAAATTCTTATGTGGACAGCTTGAAATAACTAAAAAATATATTCTATATAAGTGATTGTAAGTCATTCCAACTAATCAGTTTTTAAAAAGTCATCAACATGGAAGAATCTTTTACTCTGACTATCTCAGGCAATTCATCTGTCCTGGAGGCA